AGCAGGAGTCAGTAGCTGTGTCTAACTTGAAGCTGTAGCGTAGCGGGCTTTAGGAAAACAAAGATCATAGGGTCAAAACCTTGTTTCTTGGGTAGAGCCCCAGATGAAGTGGTAGGAGTCTTTTGTGTGCAAAACGCATACAGGATCATACTAGGTTTAAACCCGGAGAGGCCTGGGGAATGGAACCTGCTGGATTGAGCAGCGGATCTGGGTCTTTAATCTCCCTCACTCTGGGCCTGCACCAATGAGCGCACAAGGACGGTGGTCCAGAACAGCCTTTACTATAGAAATTGTTTTTTTCTCTCTCTCTTCTGGGCAGCCTGGTGTATCTAATTGAATTTGCATGAGTTTCATGCCATTACAGTGTCTCTGCTGTCACAACCAACAAGCCCTTGGTTTTGTTCAGAGCTTCCCATACCCCAAAGCTCTCTCATACACGAGGACTTGTTCTTTCCCCCCCATAACCCTGTGAAGAATGGACCATGCTCACCCCCATTTTCAGATCAGGAAACAGAGGTTCAGAAAGGCTGAGTGATACGTCCAAGGTCACACAGCTAGTGGTACAATCAGGACAGAAACCCTGTCTTCATCACCTGATGGGACCCCCCGGGAGTCAACCATGGGAAGACCCCAGACCCTGCTTGCCCTGTGGTACAAATGGGGGAGAAATGAGACCAAGGAGAGGGAGGCCCTCTGATGCCTCTCTGAAAGTCTGTGGTGGTGCATAGGACCCTTGTCACCTCTGCTGAGTGCCACAACCCATTTCTTATCCTGCTTCTTCCCCCAGGGAGAAGGGAACCGTGAGAGCCAAGCCCCTAAAGATACATGATGATGAGATGACAGTAATGGTGATGGTGGTAGTTACAGAGGAAGTGATCCAGGCCCACTCTCTTATCGGCAATTCACACTCCAAAATCCAAAAGTCCTTTCTCACACATTTGGCGAGAGTGTGTTTGCTGCCTTTATGGGTCCTCTGTGTGTGCAAATTCCTCCATTTCCTGCAGAAATGGGCTTGTGTGTGATTATGGGGTGTTGCCTGGCCCTTGTTGTGTGTGGGAGCATACAGTACATATGGAAAACTACTACTTCTACACTTCAAATTCCCGAACGCATCTGGCCCAGGGTTCAAAATAAGGGCGTGAGGATCTGGAGAGGTGAGAGTTACGGCATCTCCTCTCCTCCCAAGGTGTGGCTCTCTAGTGCACAGGGGGAAAAGCCAGAGTCCTCACGGAGGCTTCCACAGCCCATATGGCTGTTGTGCCTCTCCAATGGGCCCTCTACCTGCAATACTTCTCCCCAGTCCCCCACAGTAGGCTCTGCACTTCAAATGCTGGCTCATACATGTCTTCTGATGAGGTCCACTGAATCCTCCTTAGATACCAGATGGCCCCAGTGCTCCCAGTCCCAGTTCTCCTCTATCCCTGTCCCCACACAGCTTACGACCTTCTAGCACCTGCATAACCACTAGCTTAGTTGTCTCTTGTCTGTCCGCCCATCGCACCCGACTGCTATGTCAGACCCACCAGGGCAGGGATTTTTGACTGCTACCTCAAATAATTCACTGCTATGTCTCCAGCACTTGTAGCAGTGCCTGGCACATAATAAGTGCTCAATAAATATTTGCCCACCAGATGAATCTGATGTAATTATAACAATTATCCTTTGAGGTGGGTGCAGCAACGAACGCATCTATTTTTATGGATGAGAAGGCTAAAATACCAACAGCTGCTCTGGTCACTTGTGGGTGCCCAAGTAGAAATCAAACCTAGGTCTGCATTGCTCCAAAGGCCCCCTTTACAGGGCTGTGCATATGTGTGCACACATGTACACACAGCACATATGCATACACACGTACACACATGCACACAGCACACACACAGACACGCATACACACGCATACATACGTACGCATACACACGTACACATATGCACACAGCACACACATAGACATGCATGCACACGCAACACACACGGCACGCATATAGACACACATGCACACACACATACACAGGCGCAAGTAGATGTTCAATCAATTCTGTGAGGTTGCACTGAATTCTCTCCCCGCTCACTGGGAGAACCAGACAGTGGCCAGAAAGGCCAGTGCCAGCCCCTGGGCCTCCCTCCATTCCTTGCTGGGGCTGAGGAGCTCTGAGTCTGCTAGGAGCTTGCTCCTCTGTACTTGGAGCCAACAAGGGCCTCAGCTCCACAGGTGTGGACAGGGGGCCTGGCGGTCTGCTTCCAGCAGGAGCTCCCTCTCCTCCTCTATCGTGGACACCCAGCCCCTCTCAGGCCCGTTCTTCCTTGTTGCTTTCACCCTTGCTGTCCCTTCTGCCTGGGACCCTTTTCTCTTTTCCTCTGTCTGGCTGGTTTCTTCCATCATTCAGGTCTCAGATGAGACGTCACCTGCCTGCCCAGCCAAAGGGCTCCTCTCTTACTGCATAGTGTGTCAGCCAGTCGTGCCCTCGGTAGCACTGAACACGGTATTTCAAAATTGGTAAATATTTCATGTGCTTGTTTATTAACAGGCACTATGTTCTCCCACAGGTCTCCTCTGTTAGCTGCTCAGCCGTAAGGGCAGGGATTCCTGTCTTGGCCACTGCTGTATTGGCTGCTTTGCACAAAGTCAGACACACACAAGATGCTCAATAAATAAGTGTAGTCGTCTTAAATGAATGAATGAATGAATGACCTAATCACCTATGTAAGAGGATTACAGAAGAGAGATCTGTGGCTGGGCGGGCCTCTGGCAAGACTCTCCTCCCTACCAGGTCCTACTCACCTTGTTTCTTGCTGACCCTGGAAATAATAATAGTTTTTGTTGTTGTTCTTCATGTTACAAGGCACTTACTATGCTATATGCTGGGCATTGTACCAAAGCTCTATACCCACTGATTCATTTCATTCTTATAAGCCTCTGTGGGGTATTGATAATATAATAATATTCAAAATTATTATTCTGAATTTACAAATGAAGAAACTGAGGCTTGTAGAATGAGTCCAGGGTCACCCAGCTGACAAGTGGCAGGCTGGAGTTTAGGTTGCAGAATCTGTGACATCCCCCAGCACTGGCTGCTGGAGTCCAGCAGCTACACTGGATGGGGCTGTGCACTGGTCAGAGCCACCCCTGTCCTCTCCCCTGGGGGTGACCCCCAGGCAGGAGGGGTTCAGAGGGGAACAACTGTGGGAAGCCCTGGCTGGTCACTAGCACCCCAGTGCTCTAGGGCCCTAAGATCCTCAATCCCCAGTGCCATCCAGAAGGCTGCATTGTCCCCAAGGGCTCTGGCTCTGAAGCATCTCTTCTTAGAAGGGCTCGAAGGGACCTGTGCTCCTTGCCCCTAGCCTCAGCCCGGCCGGGGTGCCCATGGCCCCTGGTGGTTGCACATCTGCTGGTGGAGGTTGTGTCCCGCAGCTGTTTTCCCGGCATAGAAGTGGCTTTGGTGGCCTTTATTCTTAGTTGAGGGGGCAGAGAAGGGCCTCCGTGAGGGCAGGAGTGCTGGGCCGGGGTCAGCTCTGCTGCTCACCAGCTGCTCCACTCCAGCTTTGCCTCTTGGCTTGTCTGGGCCTAATTTTTCTCCACTGCAAAATGGGGACAATGGGCCCGTCTACTTCATAGACTGTTGTGAAGCTTACAGCAAAAAATGGCCTTAAAAGTATTTTGTAAGCAGCAACCTACCGAACAAGGGGAATGTTTATCATTGAACAGCTTACATCAACAGACACACAGGGGACCATGTGCCCCTGGGCTTCCAGATGGTCTCCATAATGGGGGTGAGGGTACTATCTCCAAGTTTTCCTGGCTCTGAGTTGTCTTGCTCCTGCCAGAAGACTTGCCCTGTGATGGGATTCAGTGGGAGGGCTGCAGAGCAGGACCCATGCTCATACCCACTTGGGAGCTTGGTGGGTCCAGCATCCCTGTCCCGGGGGTCTCAGGCTGTAGATGAGCAGCAGATTTAAGGACCTGGACCTAGGAGTCCCCAGGACTAAGGAGGCCACAGCAGCTCCTTGGCAGGGCCCCAGAAGCCTTTCGGCCTCTGACTTGGGCACAGAAGGCATCTTGTACTCTTGCGAGGTGCAGGAAGAGCCACATGAACGTACCTGCACACGAACCACTGTCACACACATTTGGAGGCCATTTGCCCAGGACAGCACACACACGCACAGTTCTCACACGTGCATACAAACTCACACGTATACACCTACACACCCAGCATCTCTAGGAGGGGACTGAGGCCCCCTGCTCAGGCAGACAGAACCTCAAGTCCTTTTCTTGTAAACTGGCAGCCACCCTGGAGCTAAACCTTCATCACCCTAATACAGCTTCTCAACTCTTAGAAGCAGGCAGGGCACCCCAAGATCATACCCTCTGCATTTTGTAAATGGGGAGACCGAGGCCTGGAGAGGCTTGCAGACCTACCTGCAGTCACACAAGGCCAGGCACACAGCCCAGTGCTGGCGTCGGAGCAGACCCTGTGTGTCCTCACCCCGCACCTCCAGCCTGGCTGGGCCCCTCTGGGACCACCCAGGGCTGAGTGTGAGAGAGCTGGGAGCTACACTGGGAGCCCTCAGGGGCAGGCCACTCTCTGCCCAGAGCGTCACCAGAGCTGCCTCAGAAACCATTGAGTTTCCCTGTCCCCAGAGACAACCAAGCAAAGACTGGGCACCTGTGGGGGAGACACTGCAGATGGGAGCCCACGTAGGACAGGGACAAGACGGCTTGATTTCTAGGCTGAGAGTCCCATCTTAGCATAGAAGGGTCTGGCAAGGCCCTCAGCAGCACAGGAGAGAAGCAGGGTGGGGCCACCAGGGGTAGGGAGGGGGTGGGTGAGGTAGGGGCTGAGCTGGGGCTGGGAGCTGATGGGGATCCTGGTGGCCTAAAACTTCCATGGTGCTCCAGAGAGGTGGCCTGTGGGCCCTGCACCAGACTTGGGAAGAGCTGGGGACTGCTCCCTTGCCCCACAACGAGCCCGGTTTCCTGGCATTGGCCTGGAAGGAGTACTCACCCAGCACCCCCAACAGGTACAAGGCAGCTAGCCACGGTTGCTGAGACTCCATGGGCGCGGCCTCCTCCTATCTTGCCGAGTGAGCTCGCTCCCGTGGGTGAGGACGTCTGGCCCAGCGCCTTGCTCCCGGGGTGAGAGGGGCGGGGCGGCACGCGCGGGTGTCAGAGAAGCAGGCAGTGTGGGGCCTGCGTCACCCGTGTTTGAAGTTGAACTGTCAACTTCCTCCTGGCAAAACCACCTGCCCCAGTTCGAATGGTGGCCCTGGCCCCTGCCAGCTTCCTGCCTGAGGTGCCTGAGGCTGGGGCAGTGTGTCATGACCACCCCACTCAGGATAGGCCATGCAACCTGAGGGGACGAGGCTATGGGGCAGAGGGGCCTGAGCCCGCATTGTGGAAGTAGTCACCAGCCTCCAGCTGAGGGCAGGTCTGAGGGGGCGGAGGGGTGGACACAGGGGTCCCACCCAGAGGGCTCTGAGCACAGCTGGGCAGGGAGGGACAAGAAGTGAGGGCCATGGCATCAGTTCTTGCTACAGACCCTGATGCAAAACCAAAATGAAACCCTCCGCTTCGCCTTAGGTGGGATGAGGTTGGGAATTTGAGGCAAATCTTCCCATCTCTTACAAGTGTAAGAGATGATCCTCCATGAATGCTGGGCTTGTGTCAGAGTGCATGTGTGTGAGTGTGAGATCTCCATATGGACATGTGTGTGATCTGTGTCAATGCATGTGATCTCTGTGTTGGGGTGTGCAGATGTGTGTGTGTGTGTGTGTGTGTGTGAGAGAGAGAGAGGTCTATGTTGACATGGGTGTGACCTCCGGGTTGGGCTATGTGTGGGTGGGTGTGAGCTCCATGCTGGGGTATGTGACCCACATGTTGCATGCACATGATCTGTATCAATGTATGTGAGGTGTGGACGTGTGTGAGACAGTGCTCCATGTTGACGTGTGTGTCCTGTGTCAATGTGTGTGATCTCCGTGTTGGGATGTGGGTGTGTGTGTGCACACGAGTGCGTGAGTGTGAGTGTGAGCTCCTTGTTGAAGCTGCTCTGCTCCCCTAGGGGCCAGAATCAGCCTCTGGCCCAGTGTGGCCAGGGGAAGGGCTCCAGCCTCCCCTGGGGCTGGGTTCACTTTTCCATCCTCTCCTTTGTGTTCCAGGATGCTAAGATCCGGGCTCCTTGGGACCTCAGAGGCGTATGAAGGGATCGCTGAGTGTTGGGTGTTGTGAGGCAGGTCTGAGCCAGGCCTCCCAGGCACTCTCCTTCCATCCCTCCATCCCCTAGGAGAGCCAGGTCCTCTAGGACTAGGGTCCTCTCCCTCCCTGGGCTGCTGGGGTTGGCTTGGTGGCCATGATGGCTACTTAGCTGGCAGCACCTGATACTCCCCAGTTCTGCTGACTGGCGGGTGAGGAACTCTGGTTCTGGGTGCTTGAACCTGTTCAGACGAGGGAAGCAGTTCGGCCTCCAGTCAGGGAACAAGGACTCCTAAGCAGCTATTGGGGGCCACACCCACAGCCTCACACAGCCCTGCAGGCACCGCCCCAGAGGTGACAAGCCTCAGGCTGGTCTGGGGACACCTCACCCAGCCCCCATTCCCGTGACTCTGAAAATCCCAGCCTCTTTATCCATTTGCCCATTCATCCATTCAACAGGTGTCTGGTCCACGCTCAGCACCCGGGACACAGAGATGGTGGCAGCAACACAGCCCCCTCCTGCCTGCACACCACAGACCCCTCTGGATTAGTGTTTGGCCCCAGGAGGTCAAACTGAAATTTGAACTCATATTTTTCTCACTCCACAACCCTGGCCTCACCCCCGCGCCCCCGGCCCCTCATCACCTTCTTACCAGAAGCAAAGAAAACAAACTCAAACCTTTGGCTTTTTATTTGACCCTGGCATCCTCTTCATAGGTGTGGGGATGGTTTCTTCCTTTTTTCATTAGTTTGGTTCTGGAAAACTGAAAGTAGCTTAGGACCTTGGCTGCTGCCTTGCCAGCTCCTGGGGCTTGGTACCTGCCTGGCCCTAATTAGGGTCCCTGCACCCCCAGAGCCTTGTCCTTGCTTCCCAGCTGCTGCCCCAGAGGCTTACTATGCCACCCCCCCCCCATTAGTTACCCCTATGTTGATCCCAGGCACCCTTTCCACCTCTCCCCAGCCCCCAGCCCCCTGGGCCTGCTGTCCCCTCTCAGACCCCAGATCCCTGGCGGGAGTTTCCTGTCCTCATCATCATCACTGCACTTTCCATGACACAAGAGGAAGTCAGCTGAGCCCTGGCTGGGTTTTCCACACAGCCGATGTTGGGGGAGGGGGTTGGAGAACCCTTGGGCCGGGTGTCAGAACCTCTTGGCCTCCACGCGGGAGAGGTGACAACCTGTGCTGCCCTGGGCCACACCAGGTACCCTTGGGAGGGTGTCATGTGTCTGTCCCCAGTACTGCTGTAGCCCCTCTGGACTCAGTGATTCCCTAGTACCCCCAGGGTTTGTCCTCTTCGAAGGGGCAAGGGGGCCACAGGGTTGTTCAGAAGGGGGAGGAGCTGAGGGTGGAGGCAGGGGTGACAGGAGGAGGCAAAGGATGCCGAGCAAAGTGACTGTGTTTGTTGAGTGAATGAAGGAAGGAATGTAGAGGATGGTTCCCATAGGCAGTGGGGGGGCCTGGTGGTCTGATGAGAAGGGCAGGAAAGGTGTTGCAAGTCTTTGGTGAATGACTCAGTGACTTGAATCCCTGAATCCTCTATATGGCTGCCTGGGAAGGGGGGACCCAGGGGACAGAGTTTGCCTCACTTCCCTCCTTACACCTGTTCAGGAAGTTCATGTCCTGTGCAGTCAGACCCTTTGGTAGAGGGGAAGGAGGGGAAGAAAGAGGGACATAAGCTCCTGGTTCTAGAAGGGTTCTGGGTGGTTCTGGGCAGTTCTGGGCTGTTCTCGACGATTCTAGATGATTCTGAGCAGGTGGCTGACTGGCATGTAGGTGTGATGCAGAGGCTCTGGCCTGGCAGGCACCTGCATTTGAATCCTGCGTTTGCTATGTAGCCCTGGAAAAGACTGTGTCATGCTCTGGGCCTCAGTTGCATCATCTGTAAAGTGGTCCTGAAGCCACTGCTCTTGTCCTCGGAATACAGCATGAAAATGGTTGGCAAGCAGCCATATCCCTTTGGAGGTAGGGGATTTTCTGTTCTGGGACCTGGAGGGTTGACTCCTCCGTTGGGTGAGGGGGTGTCAAGTGGCAGGCTTTGGGGAAAGGACAGAACACAGAGGATCCAAGTCTCACTGACAAGGGCTGTGCTGGCTCTGTAAGGCATCTGAGTACGTGTGCTTCTCCCGAGGCCGGGTAGGGCTGGGCTGCTCAGAGGTCCTGTGTTGCCTGCAGGGCCAGGTCAGGGCCAGGTCAGGGCACCATTCCACACACCTTTCCCCCTTCCTGACAACACTGGCTTCCCATCCCTGTGGTGAAATGAAACCTTCAGTAAACTGTTGAAGCCAATTCCCTAAATTCCTTATCTGTAGAATGTGGTTGTTTGAAGATGACACAGAATAGTCCCTGTTCTTCTCGGGGGTTCTAGGAACCATAGTTGTTATGTTTGATGATCATTTTCAGGGTGAGTGGTACAGGATTTAGGAGTTCACAAGCCAATATTACATTCTGATTTGGGTGACCTTGGGCAAGTCAATTCCCCTTTCTCAAACTCATCATCTTCCTGCATTCTGGGGCTTCTGGAAGTTTCCACGATAGTGGCATGATGAGCTTGCCAGCCCTGGTGTGCCCCTGAGTGTGAGGGCTGGGCAGCTCAGGGCTCTCCTATGCCCTACTCCCGTCTCCCTCACCGGACCACATGTGTGAAGGCCCTCGAGTGAACAAGCTGAGTGCCCCTTTCCTTTCCTACACCCCTCACCAGGCCTGCTTCAGGCCTCCCCTGCAGCAGTGTGTGCAAATCACATTCCACAGCCTGTGGCCTGAGGTCTTGGCCTTCACACTGTCTCTTCTGTTGCTCCTGTAGGAAGATTGGACTTGCTCAACTATAGGGCATATGTTTTGGTTGAGAAAATGAGATCACCAAAGAGCATGGGACAAGTGTTAACTAACCCATTTTTTCAGAAGAAATAACTGAGGATCAGAGAGGTTGGGTGAATTCTCCAAGGGGCATAGCAACCAATGGTGAGGTTTGGACTGAGCTGGGGACATTCCTTTCCCCAGTGCAGCCTCTTTCTCTGTCTGGCTATGCTTTCTTGGCCTTTAAGAAGTTTCACTATGTTATAGCAGAGGGCATGGGGAGAGGGCAGTCCCAGCTGTGTGCCTTTAGTCTAATCTAGTGGCTGCGACTCTCAGAGCCACAGATCCCATCTGTAAAATGGGCTGGACAGACACTATAAGACATTTAAAGGGATGTAGTGGGACTGGCTAAGGGCACCGGTAGAAAAGGCACATATTTGGTCTTCACAGGTAGGGCAGCAGCATTTCACATTTCGCATTTCTAAAGTCCTAACTCCTGTCAGAAACTCTCTTAACTCTTTTTAAAAAATTATTACCCAACCCAAGCCTTCTCTCCACAGCACCCAGCACCAGGCACAAAGCAATTTCTTGAACAAGTGAATGAATGAATGACAAAGAAGCTTTCAGCATGGGCACATGATATGAATGTCCTCTACCCCCAGCCCTGAGCTTCCAGGCTAGCAGGGAGACCATCCAACAGGCTACTGGGACAGATCACACGAAGGGCAGGGCCTGGGGGAGCACAGAGGAGGAGATGTGCCCAGCCCAGCCTCTGGGAAAGTCAGGGAAGGCTTCCTGGAGGGGATGACATCCATGTGGAGAGTGGAAGGATGAGTAGGAGTTTTCCAGCATGGTAGTGGGATTGTGGGCTGAGGGAAGTGTGAAGGCAAAGGCTTCTGGGTCCTGTCAGCATCATAGCTGTCTGCTACAATTGAGGCAGTTCTAGAAGTTGGGGATGTGGGCACTAGTCCTGGCTCAGCCCCCTCACTGGCTCTGTGCCTGGGGATGAGTCTCTCCCCGAAGCCTCCGTTTATCTGTGAAATAAAGGGGCTGCACCAGATGGTCCCTGAGATTCCT